TACCGAAGCATCAATTTTAGAACTGTTAGAACTGTTCTCTCCAGAAGAGAAGGCAAAATCCCCGCGATAAATAACTCAACCGCTGGGACCCAGGATCACAAAAACTACCCAAACATTGGGTTGTTATGTCTGACCCAGGAGCTGGGTAACACTAAAAAAAACTACCCAAACATTGGGTTGTTACATTTGACCCAGGAGCTGAGTAACACAAAAACTACCCAAACACTGAAAAAATAATTTTAAAAAAATGACTCAAAAGGCTCAACCCAGCATTTGGGTTAAAAAAATAACCCAGGATTTTTTAGAGTGTATGTGTGTGTATTCATATTCGTATTGAACCGTTCGGTACGAGGCTTTCGATTCGGTACGCATTACAAACCGAACAATTCGTTGGACAATTCGCTGCTCAGCTGCCCTGCAATAACCTCCTCTTGCTAGGGTGCGTCGAAAGACGATGAACTTGTATCGACGATAGCCAGAGATATTGTCAAAAACATCAATTATTGGAAATATTAAGAGGATTTGGTATTTCCAATTAATGTAGGCCTGTTACTTTCTTATTTTTATTAGGCCTATTATTATTATGAAGTTACTTTTATTATTAAATAAAAATTACAATTAATTTGCCCCGCAATATTACCGTGCAAATGACGCGCTGCGAGGATAACAAAAGATTAGGCTATTTACTGCTCAATTAAAATGTTTTAAAAAAGGTTTTTCAAAGCAGGTCTATGTGCAATGAATTATAGGCCTATAATTAAAATATTAACTCAGCAGTCATCAATAAAAATCAATGAAATAAAAAGCTTTTATTTCAAGCACCGACTTTCAAAAACAACCTGTTTAACACGAAATACGTTTCTTGTCTTTTTTTTTCACTATGTATGGGCCACAAGAGAAATCTTAAGGGAATAAAAACAGTTAGCTATATACCGTTATCAGCATATGTTGAAGTAGATTCGTCTCTCGGCGTCTCTGAGAGAATATGTGGCGTCAGATGCCGAAAGCTCCGTTGCTCCGCCGTCATTCCGTTTTTACATTCACTTTCTTATTATTACTTTCTTAAAAAGGAGAGTGTATGGATGTTTTTGTTGATCTGTTTCTATTAGGTCAACAGTAGTATTGAATCTCTCCACTAGGGCCCAGTATGAGTCTGAATGTCAGGCACATTCTGATGATGTCATGATTTCGGAGGTTTCTTTGCAGTCGAACCGAACCGAATATATATATATATATATATAAATACAAGAAGAAATTTTCATATTAAAAAAAAATTAAGGATTTAGGATTTTTTTTTGGGACAAAGGTTTGAGAATTTGGAAAATTACAGAGAAAAACTGAAAGGATACATTGGCATAAAATAAAGAAAAATTTAAGATTTGTTCACAATTATTAACCAATGAAATGTAGGCTAATTTGTGATGGTATTGTGCAGATGGTCAGATGTTCTTGCTTCCACTTAATAGATTTAGGATCAACTTAAATCATGCTGCAGAACATGAAGTTATTAATGCAAAAGGGAAACAAACCAAATACTAAACCATCTTGAAATTTATGTACACTACTGTTGAAATGTTTGCTCACCAAAGCTG